AAATACGTTCTTCAATTTTCTTAATTTGATTTTAAAATGTAGTAGTTTTGTTAGCTGATAGGGTGCTAAAAAGGGATAGCTAAAAAATAATTAGGCAAACACAAACCGCCAAGGGAAGTTTAGGCTGGACATCAGGAAAAAGTTCTTTTACAGAAAGAGTGATTGGGCATTGGAATAGGCTGCCCAGGAAGGCAGTGGAGTCACCATCCTTGGAAGTGTTTAAGGAAAGACTGGATGTGGCACTAGTGCTGTGCTCTAGGTGATAAGGTGGTGTCGGGTTAAAGGTTGGACTTGAGGATCTCTTAAGGTCTTTCCCAACCTAGTGAATTCTGTGATGCAGTGAAAGTGGAACCTTTTTTTACAGGGTTTTTTTTTGTTTGTTTTGTTTAGTTTTTTTGTTTGTTTGTTTGTTTGTTTTGGGGTTTTTTTTGTGTGTGTGTGTTTGGCAGTCCCTGGTTTTAGCGTAGTAGTGCTTCATCAGATTTTTCTTTTTAAAACCTTTTTCTGGACACTCTCAGCATCTGAATAAATGAACAGTAACAAATTGAATTTTTATCTAATGGGCCGGTCAACCATTTTCCCAACCTGCTTTTAAATTTCACTCTTGAGAAGACAGATGCCATGTCCTGCTTGCACCTGCGTGTGCTGTGCATCACCTCCAGGGACTAGTTGCTTCTTCCAGCTCTTACGTGGTTCACGTTCCGCAGGAAGCACTTCCTGCTTTTTATCTGCCATAATAAGGCTGCATTGGCTTGTGGTGTTGATGTTACACAAAGGGATGGGTAATTTAATGAAGCACCAGGTGTGTGAAGGGCCTCATGCATTCTTCAGTATGAAATTCTTGGTATTGGAAGTAATATTCTTTGGCATTTCAGGGAGGTCTGTTTTCTTGGCTTTTTACTGGCTTTTTTTCCATTGCTGTCAGGCTTGTCTTCTAGAATTAATTGCCCTGATTTAACAATCAAACACCAACCAATGAATTGGGGGTACAGACTACAAAACTTGCACTCTGTTTTCAGAAATCTGCAAATATGCTTGTCTCAATTTAAAGTTTTTTCCCCCACTTTTCCAATCAGCTGCCCTCTGATGGCTTCATTTCATACTGATTTGTTATTTTGGTATCAGCAGCAATCAGACTCAAACTTCTACAACTCAAGAAACTGTGACCAGCTCTAAATCTTTCATTCACATACTGAGTAGTACTGGTAGTAATGTTTCTTATTAATGATTGACTAACCTCTTCCTGGGCTAACTTTGATGTCTGATTTGAAAGGAAACCTTCCTGCATCCAAATTATAGTGCCTTTTAAAAACTTAATCCCTGCTCCAGATGAGAGCTTCCTGTATGATCTTGCTTTTCAGAAATCTGGGATGTTAGCTTCAGTAGAATTCAGCAAAGCTGCAGGCTTGATAACAAGCATTAAATCCACATGTCGTTCTTAATCTGATGCACGTGGTGAGCTTTGAAAGAGGTTTTGATTTGCATTGGGTTCTACAAGGGAGGTTTTTTGTAAACCTGAACTTCCCATCCCTGTGGATAGCCTCTGGTAGCAGTTCTTTGTCTAGATTATAGGAATTTGTGTAAAAGACTTTTTGTTACCGTGGTAGAATTTCTCTCTGGGATACCTGTTGGTTATCTTCACTGGATTTCAATTTGCTGTCAGTTAGCAGAAATGATTAGCTGGAGTGTAGGTTTTCTGATGGCTCCTGCTTTTGCACTAACTCCCCTTGGAAGTGTTTTCATGAATATAGGGAAGTCTTATTCAAATGCTACCCTTCAAGAACTGGGTTAGAAATGAGGCAGACCTTGTGCTGAACTACCACCAGTGGTAGCACTACTCAGGTTTTACAATGCAGCTTCACTGGGCTGCGTTTGAAATGTCTTCACAGCTCTCTGCACAAGGAGCCAGCTTGGCCAGTGCTCACTCTTGCTGCCCCTGCCTTATGTCATCGAGCTCTACTTAATCCATCATCTGCTTCTTTCAAATTAGTGTTTCCAAACTGTCTTGAAAACCTCTGTCTATTAGGATGTGATGCATATATGGCAAATGCTTAATTTGTTCCAGCTTAGCAGGGCGCATCCCATGCTGCTCTGAATCTGTAGCTGTATACTTTAGTTCTTTAAGTCTGGTTATATTTACTTAATTCCTTTAACCTTAGGTCAAATCTACACCAATAACGCAGTGACTGCAGTCAGATTTTGGGTAGAAGATTACAAGCAGTTGCAGTGGTTTGAGTTTCTATGCTAACAATGGTGGTTGAATTTTTTGTCTCATGGAAAATATTGGGAAAAAGTCAGCTGGGTATTAAACATGTTGGTTTTGTAACCCAGCCTGATTTGACATGTGTCAGAGGACCCATTGTGCTGGCAGAAACTACCTGGGCCATTACTACCTGGGCATTATCATTTCATTCAAACTACTGAAAACAGAGAAAATGAAATCTGTGTGGGAAAGAAGCACACATTTCCACAGACACTGGAAATATTTGAAGGCCTTATGCAAAGAAGAGGGTAGTTCAGATAATGCCACAGTTTCTTGTATTTTTATTTGATAACTGTTAATTCCTCTTCTAAAATCATCAAGGTGGTGAAGTTGATTTTATTTAATTATGTGTAACTAGTGTAGTTTATTGAAGCAATGATTTTAAAGTTAACTGTTTGAAATATATTTTGTGGCTGCTTAGACATAGTTACTTATGTACCTATGCTGGTGTGCTGTTTAATTCTCTGATTATGTTTTAATAAAATTACTTTCTTAAAATCTTTCAAGCATTCCTAACATGGATGGCAAAGTAAGTAGATCAGGTCAGAAACTTGTATTTTAAAGGTTGCACTAGACAAGTAAATTGTTTGTATTATAATGACGGTAAAAAAAAAAAAAAAAGAGTATATGTTTTTATTATTTTCCCTTATCTTCAAAAATTATTTCCCTAACCATTACATTGGAGTCTGAATTTCTCACCAAAGAGTTGTAGAAAATTTGCATTTAACAAATGTGATTCAAAATTTTTGCAGATGAAACAGTGTATTTTTTTTGTATTGATCCATCCTGAAAGTGAAATCAAAGGAGAAGGTAATTGATTGAGAATTGGAAACAAGCTGCACTGAAACAGGATCAGGAAAACCCTGAGTACTGCTTGCATCTAAATTTTGCTGTCAGCCAGTGTTAAGTGGGGATGCGTGTGTATCTCTGGGGATTTCCAGTGCTTCTGACTGCACAGAAAACAACAGAAGGGTAAAATTGCCTAGCTGCACTTCATAAGGGGCCAATCTGAACCAACACAGCTTGCAAAATTTCATGTGTAAGGAAATTGCTGCATTTTAATCTCTTGGTGAAATGTGCATATAAGCTGAAATTTTGGCAACTTTCCAGCACAATTGGGATCTTCAGTACTAGAAAATAGAGCAGGTTCTCTGGTGTGAATAGTGCATTTGAAGTAGGTTTAGGAAAGTGTCCTGCAGCACTAAACATGCTGCTTCCTTGCATGGCTCTAAAATGACACTTAGGGATTTTAATTTTTTTTGCTGTACTTGCACTTACCATTCTTCCCATTTGTCCAAATTCCAACTTCAGCTTTAGGTTGCTGAATAATTTGTCCCTGGTTCCAGACTTCCCATGAACTTCGTGGCATATAACCTATCTGCTGTTAACTGCAGAATGAGTACAATCATCCATAAAACACCTTTGAGGGGGGAAAAAGAAAAATGGCATGTGCCAGACCAGCTGTTTTCAGTCCAGTGAATGCTTCCCCTTTCCACTTTGTTAGAGCTGCTGTCAGCCCTTCAGACCGTGCCACTTCCCTCAGAGAAACTCTACAATGCTTTAACTAGATCATGTCCTCTATCATTCACACTTACTGCTAATTTATGTGCCCATATTTGTGGGAGATCTGGAAATAAAACTTAGGAGTTAAGAATTTGCAATGATCTCCTTTTTACACAATGTAAAAATGTCTACTATGTACAAATATGTAATATGTACACAGACGTAAAAACTAGTTATTTTTTCTGCATGATTATCTAAAACTAATGACAGAATTGTATTTTTCTAGGTAAAAAAATGCCACATCAACTTGTAATATGAAGTGCTCGCAGTAAAAGCCGTAGTAGGCTCTGTCAAGACATATTTGCAGCCATAGTTAATTTTCTTTTTACCCCAAATTTCTCTTCACATCTCTTGCTAAGGCTAGTCTGGATCATAGGCCCAGAGGGAGAAATAGTCATGTTTTAAACATCAGAATTACCAAGCTCTTAGCTTGGCCCAGATGTCTGTATTTTAAATGGGAAGGTTCTGATGCTGCCAAGTGCACTTCAGCCAACCTTGCTAGCTGGTTTTCTGGGAGCAGCTGTTCTGTCCTCCAGGCTACTGTCAATCTCTGATTTATTCAAATGTTGCCCTTGCAGGTTAAGACAAATAATAGTAACAAAGCTAAAAAATTACCTTGCTCTTTGTTGTTGATCCAAGGTTCTTTCAAGTTCTGTCTTGCTTAAGTGCCTGCTGTGACTACTGGTTCTGTGCTTTTTCCAATTCTTCCTCTTTCTTTACTAATTCCAGTATCTTTGATGCACTGAGTTCTTGAACTTTTCCCCTCCTGGCCTTTTTTTCCGATCCTGTGAGGCATGTCTCAGGTGGTTTCAGCTTTGTACCAGGAGCTAGGTTGGGCAGCAGTAGGCAGTGTGTCCTGCTGCTACAGGGATTCGCACAGGCAGATGGTGCTGGTGTTCATCATTGGCTCTTAGCGTGTGTGCCAAGTTCCCCCTTGTGAGAATCCACACAGAATCCCTCAATACAAACCCACAACTGTGCCTTCAACCTAAATTTCCCATGCTAGCTCCTCTTAATCCCAGGTTTTTGGTATACAGAATTTCAGCTGAAGAAACCTGAGAAACATTTCAATCAACCATTAATGTTTTTAGGCCTGATGTTGATGTGAGGGGTTTGTTTTCTTTTCAAAGACTCATCTTCTGTTTTCTTACAGAATAACCTGACATTTTTACAGGTCCAGACAACTCCTACTTTGTCTGGAGGAAGAACGGACAAAAGATGAAGGCATGCATCACGGAGCAGTCTCACGTGCTGCTTGATGGCAGAGTGCTTGTTCTCAGTTGGGTGAAAGATTCAGTATCAGAAAACACAGAATACAGATGTTCTTTCATCTCAAAAGTTGGGAACACAACGTCAGAAGTGCTGATCACAGTGGAAGGTAAAGGTAGGCTTTTTCAAGAGTATGCCATGTTTGGCCTGACCCTGACATGAGTAAAGCTCTGTAATATCCACACAGAAAACGTGCATACCTGAAGACAGTAATTTTCACCTACCCAATTAGTATGCACTTCATTTATGGAAAGGTTTTAGAGGCATAAAAACTCCTTCCTCTACCTCCTCTCTCAAAGGACTAATGTAAATTAGCAGTTAAGATCTAGAAATTGAACCGAAACTTGGTAAACTAATTCAAAAAACCTGAAAGTTAGATGAGTAATGGAGAGCTACAAATAAGTACTCTGGTGTAATTCTACAGGGTAATGTAGAAAAATTTAATTTATAAGGACTTAAGGAAGTCAGATGGTAAAGAGAAACCCCCACTATGCTGGATTTTCAAAACTGCATTATTTGTAAACCACTTATGGTTTGGATTGGGCAAGGTCAGTTCCCTCTGCTCCATCTGGACACTAACTAGGCAGAAGGGCAGTTAGGTAACTTCAGCAGCTGCAGGATTTTGGGGTGTCCAGACTGCCTGCTGCAGTTAGACCTTACCCAGGTGTTGAGAGGGTCTGAATAGTCTTTGAAAAGACAACAGGAGCAATGGTTATGATACAGCGTGGATTTTCTTGGCAAGATGAAGGAAAAATTAAGAAGCTGGTTAATACCAAATGTTAGTCTGTCAAGGAAGGCTCAGCGCTTCTTTTTTCAATGACAAAAGCCATGCAATCAGTCACTCCAGTTACTTTGAAATCTTCTGTCTCAGAAGCAGAATTAAGAGCATCTCAACCAAACCAGTGTAAATATAAAATAGACAGAGGGGCTCTCACTGTGCTCTAAAAACATATGACTGTTGCTACCGTACCAGAAGATAAATAGAAAATATGTCACCAGCAGTCTTACATTCTGAAAAAAAAGCTGGTAAACAGACCAAGATGCAGTCACATAGCCCTTTTTAAATTATCAATGTAAGGAACTATAAGGAACTCTTGAGTGAAATGACATGGCATCTACAGATGGCTGAAGGATCAGACCCAGCATGGGTTTAGGAGGGGCAGGTCCTCCCTGACTGACCTGGTGTCCTTTTATGACCAGGTGACTCACCTGATGGATGCAGGAAAGGCTGTGGGTATTGTGTGCCTGGATTTCAGCAAGGCCTTTGACACTATATTCCACAGCACACTCCTGGAAAAGCGGGCAGCCCAGGGCTTGGACAGGAGCACACTTTGCTGGGTTACTAACTGGCTGGATGGCTGGACACAGAGTAGTGGTGAGTGGTGCTGCATCCAGCTGGCAGCCAGCCACCAGTGGTGTCCCTCAGGGCTCTGTGCTGGGGCCAGTTCTGTTCAATATCTTCATTGATGACATGGATGAAGCTATTGAGTCTTTCATTAACAAATTTACGGATGATACCAAATTAGGGGGGAGTGTTGATCTGTTGGACAGGCTGGATTGACGGGCCAAATCCAGCAATATGAGGCTCAACAAGACCAAGTTCTGGGCCTTGGACCAAGTCCAAGTGTTGTGGCCACACTTTGGTTACAACTACCCCCTTGTGTGCTACAGGCTGGGATCAGTGGCTGGACAGTGGCCAGAACGGGACCTGGGAGTGCTGGTGACAGCAGGTGGACATGAGCCAGCTGTGCCCAGGTGGCCAAGAAGGCCAGTGGCATCCTGGCCTGGATCAGGAGTAGTGTGGCCAGCAGGCCCAGGGCAGTGAAGGTACCCCATACTCTGCACTGGTGAGGCCTCACCTTGGGTTCTGGGTCCAATTCTGGGAAGGGAAGATGAGGGAGAATGAAGTTGAGATGCTTGGAGCAAGTCCAGAGAAGGGCAACAAGGCTGGTGAAGGGTCTGGAGCACAAGTCCTGTAAGTAATGGCTGAGGGAGCTGGGCTTGTTCAGCCTGGAAGAAAAGGAGGCTCAGGGGAGACCTCATGACTCTCTTAGAGCCACCTGAGAGGAGCATGTAGCCACGTGGGAGGTCAGTCTCTTCTCCCATGACAAGAGGACACAGGCTTAAGCTGTGCCAGAGGAGGTGTAGGTTGGACATCAGGAAGAATTTCTTCACAGAAAGGATAATTAAACATTGGAGTACACTGCCCAAGGAAGTGGTGGAGTCACTGTCCCTGGAGGTGTTTAAGGGAAGACTGGATATGGCACTGGGTGCCATGGTCTGGTTGACAAGGTAGTGTTGGATCATGTGATAGATTTGATGATATCAGATGTCTTTCCCTGATTGATTCTGTAGTCCTGTGATTACTGAAAAATGGGGAATACTAACCGGACATATCCGTCATGTTAACTGGTCCCCTCTCCAACACGTCACTCTTCTCCCCAGGCTTATGATCTACCTGGAGCATTCCTGTGCTTGTTAGATGGGTTTGAACTATTAATCTGCACATCCTACCTTCTAGATCTCAAATCACAGATAATGGCACTAAACCTGTTTACTCTGGAGGCTATTAAGCTTGCTGCACAGTGTAAGAGACAGAAGTATTTCCACAAAACTTGCTGCCAGATAACATGAAAGAATGTAGAGCAAAACGAAGGATGGGGGTTCCTTCTAGCCCCCTTCCTGCAGGACAGGCAGTCCTGAATGTGATCAGGTACTGACTTCTGCCATTATATGGTTATGCAATCATCCCATTTCCATTCTCAGATAGCACTGGTCAGGATGCATGGACCAAAGAATTTGATACCTGGAAAAGTGCCATCAGTGAACATGACAAGATGATGCAAAACTGGAAGAAAAGATGGGTAAGACTTTTATAGACTGCCTCTTGGACTTCTGCAACTGCATGTATTTATGTAACAAAATGATCAGTGTTCCTGTATACACCATCGTTCCTGAGCCACTCAGCAGTGAAGTCTATGTAAGAGATTTATTGCAGTTGTGTCAGCTTACTGCTTCAGTTCGCTAACCAAGTGCTCATCAGTCAGTAGTTCTGTTCCTGCCCAAAACAGTAAGTCTCTGTATAGTGAATGGAGTAGATAAATTTCATCACATCTGTAGACCAACTGGATTGCAGAGACTGCTGGGCTTCATAAATGGTACTGTCTATAAAAGCTGACCTTTTTTCTTTTTTTTAAAAAAAGTCCATTTTCATTGCTTAATATTTTTCTCCAACAGCTAGATGATCACTTTTGAAAACTTTAGATATTATGTGCTTGCTGCCTGGAGAACAGTTAGTATAGGCAACCTTAAGCCCCATTTTCATTTTTAGAGTGGTATTAACACATCATTGTAAAATTTTTTTCTTCAGGAGACCTGCAACAAGAGAAACAGCCTCTAATGGACAAAGGAGTTAACAGGCTAGAAGGAAAAATGTATGCACGTTAAGAGTACCTGTTACTCTTATTATTATAGCATTTGGAATGTCTTTTCAAGCGTTAGTGCTGACATTAAAACTGGTATTCAGGAGAATCACCTCAAGCATGAAGTGGAAGGGGATATTCTTACTGCACCAAAGCTAAGTTACATGGTACAATGCATCCCATGCTGCAACTATCTCTGGTTTTCTGATGTCAGCTATTTCAGCTTAATAACAAAAACAGTCTCAGCAAGATTTGTGCTGTTCAAAGAATGTAATATGATGTTTTCTGTTTTGAGTTCATTAAGTTAACCAGATAATTTTGGGCTTGAGGATCTTGGCATAAGATTTAGAAATTAGGACGTGCCATTTATTAAAGGCATTCAAACTTGTACACTTATTTTTCTTTTACTATGTTTACCCTTAGTTGCCAGTGTTTTGAAGAGTATTCCTTTATAGTGTCAGCAAGCTCATTTATTTCCTTTGGTAATTGCGCTGAGTTTTAGTTAATTTTCTTCACAGTGGCTGGTGTGGAGTTTGTTTTGGATTTGTGCTGAACACAGGGTTGATAATGGAGAGATGTTTTTGTTGTTGCTGAGCAGGGCTTGCACAGAGCCAAGGCCTTTTCTGCTTTTTGCACTGCCACAATGGCAAGGAAGTAGGGGATGCAGGGGAGGTTGGGAGGAGACACAGCCAGGACAGGTGACCCCAGCTGACCAAAGGGATATTCCAGACCACGTGGCATCACACTCAGTACATAAAGTCAGAGGGGCATGTATGGAGTGATGTCATTTGTGTTCCCAAGTAACCATTATGTGTGATGGGCCCTGCTCTCCTGGAAATGGATCGACACCTGCCTGCCCATGGGAAGAACTGAATGAATTGTTTTGCTTTGCCTGTCTGCACGGCTTTTGCTTTTCCTATTCAACTGTTTTTCCTGTTCAAGGGCTTCTACCCTTCTGATTTTCTCCCACTGTGAGAGGCTGGGTGGTGCTTGGTTGCTGGCTGGGCTTAAACCATGACAGTAATAAAGTTTCTATACCAATTAAAGAAGTTCTGACTAATGCTTAAAACACAGATAGATTACAAAGTATGCAAGAAGACTCTTTAGTTTTTGCAAATTCTTCTATATTTGAGATAATGTAGGTTTAAAATTCTGTGCTGCATGAACTCAAAGACCATTCCTTATGATGATCAAGTGTGATGATCAGACTGAAAATGTGAGGACCTACACTATCCACAGTAAAAGTGTTCTACTGCATTACTGCTCAGAGTTTTGTCCTTCTGCATCTAAGAAACAAAAGTCTGATGTATAAATTAAATTTTCTCTTTATCTGCTCAATGGATTTCAACAATCTGGAAGCAAGTAAGATTCTCCGAAATGATCAATCAGCCTAGGCGGAGAGCTGCTTTGAGAGTATCAGAAAGCTTCATACTCATCCCTAAGTTCTCTCCTAACTGGTAAGATTTAAATTAGAGTGTTTCTGACATTAAAGAAAGCAGTCTCATCATGCTAAGACTAGAATGATCTTTTCTTTTTTTTTTTTTCACTAATCAGACCACCTTGTCACACATGCAGGGTGAAAACTCATTTTTTTTCCTACTTTTCTTAACTATTTTCCCTGTATTTCACATAGGATGCTGATGCAGACTTCTAACACCACCAGAGATAATTTTTTTCTCATTTGTTCTCATAATTTTTTTGCTCTCAGGACAACTATAAATAGACTTTTCTTGAATTGTTTCTCCTTCATTTGTTCAACCAATTTGGAGCACACTTAGTTCTGTGCTCCAGAGTTTAGTTCTGTGGAGCTGAGTGGGAATATAAAGTAAGACAGGGGTCAGGGTTTTGGATGGTGTAGGTAAGCTTTGCTTTGTTTCTGCAGGAAATTGCTGCAAGTAATAAAAATTTGCCAAATTTTCTATTTAGTTCAATCTTATGGGGAGGAAAAAAAAAAAAGAAAAAGAAAAAAATCTGTGTACTAGCATTAGAAACCATGGCTGTGACACCTTTATAGTAATTTTTTTTATACTCTCTAAGAACTAGAAATAAGTCCCTAGGATTGTGAACAACCTGTAATGCTTCTGAAGTTTTATGCTCTTCTAGAGTAAGACAAAATAGAAAACATGGTCAAAAACCCAAACTTCTTTAACAACTGATCCTCATTCCATGCAATGACTGTGTTTATCAGTTCCAGAATTTTAGATGTGTATCCAAGTGGCACAGGTACAAATGAATAAATCACAACTTACCTTTGCATCAAGGGTATATGCTGGCCAAAAGCATGTGTTGCCACTGGGACCTTTCACCCCTAATTTCCATTTAAGATTAGAAGGAACTAATACAAAAAAAGATCATTATAACTAGTGAATTTCAGCATAAGGCTGGCTTCCCTTGTCAATGTTCTCTCCCAAAAGTGACATTTCAAATGTCCACAAGACGAGCTTACTTAAGTCACAAGCATTCTTTATAGAATCAATATATTGTAACAGATTTTATACAATTTATAGTCTACAAAACTGTTGCATTTCAAAGTTATTTGAAGTTTTTTATATCACTTCTATCATCACAAGGCAGCTACTTTACGAAGTATTGCACTACAAATGTTCAGTATGGTGAAGCGCTTGCAGAAACACCTGAGATGCTGAGCAGCATGTGGCATCTGTATCACCTTTCAGAAAAGCTGACACAAGTTATACGTGCATCCCTTCACTTACTTTCTTTAGGCTTGTCCTCAAAAAACAGTGTGTATATAGGCCATTCCCACTAAGGTGCTCCACCACTACTATAAGCACATTTTGTTTTTAAAATTTTATTTCCTCTAGGATACAAACTTCATTTCTTATAAGATATAAATTTTTTCTATTTAGATACAAACTGGGATTGCTCAAAAACTCAGATGTATATATCAACACAACCCCAAACTGAAGGAATGAGGAGTCTCAGCAAGGAGAAAGTACAGATGAGCAGGCTAGCACGTTTGCTGTCCTGCAGTCTCCTTTAACTTCAAAGCTGGATGTATGATAAACTACTCTTAGTAGCAACAGAAACATCAAATTTATAAAAAGTCTAAACAGAGCACATTCACTTCAGGAATTTCAGACCCTTGTAGTCTGTGCTATCTCCTTCACACCTGATGTATGATCCCCAAGAACAACATACAAGAGCTAACCAGGAACTTTTGTCATCGTGGCCTTCCTTAATTAGTTTAAATCAAGCTACCTGCCTCAAATTAATTTGTTGCTGACTAGAATAAAGTGACATTGACAGCAGCCTGCCCTTCTGAGCAGGCTTATTTAGAAAAAAAACTAAGAACAAACCCACAACCAAACAACAAGCTGAAGTTTTTTACACAGGAGTTAAAAATTAAGGGCAACTCTCCTTTAGCCCCTTTCGGCTCAAGGAATCTCTTCCAGAAGAAAATTATTTTCCTATCAGATTCTTTTGGTTTATTCTACCCCAAGAAATCAATGCTAGTCCATAAAATCATTAAAGTACACCAAGCCAGTAGAAGTGGTTTGGGGCTACAACAATTTGATGTTTTCATCTGCTATAATAATCAGAGAAACACACAGAACAAAATAACATTAACCAGTGCCTCATGTGCTCCAGTGTGTACTTTGCTTTAAGGGATTCAGAACAGTTTGCTTAGCTAACTTGAGGTCTTTCTTTAGATTATGTTATTTTTGCTACCTTCTTCCTAGGGATCTAACAGAAAAAAAATAAAAGCCCAATAGAGCTGGATCAGGATTTACTGATGGTCTTCCAAATTCAGTATCGCCATGTCAGCAGTTGCACTCTTTTCCAATTCTAGGGCATATGCGTTATATTCTTCTTCAAGTTTTCTCTTCCAGACTTTAACTAGGGAATATTGGGAAAGGAAAAAAAAAAAAAAAAAAAAAAAGAAAAAAAAAAAAAAAAACACCCCAAAAACAAAACAAAGAAAAAATGACAACCAACATGTTACCATATAATAATTGAGGAAAAACTTAAAATGAAAAGTCAACTCTGATTTTTCACTTCCCCTTCAAAATAAGTGCTGAGATCAGCTGACACACAGGCATGCTGGCATTTACATTATGCAACATGAGATAACACACAAAAGAATAATTTAAGAGTGATGGGGTCCACTGAGCTCCTTGTGTCCAACACTACTCAAGTAAGGCTAACCCTGAAGGTGGTTCCAACTTTAAAAAAACCAGTAATTTTTTATAACTTTCTATCTGCAATACATTGCAGTGTCTGTTGACAGAACAAGCTGTCAACAGACAATGCTGTTCGTACAGAGCTGGAGGAAAAAGTTTCTACAAATGAGTGCTTGTGGACAGGAAGATACACTGCAAATAGGCTTCAATACAAAAATTAGTCTATCACAGTCACCGAGTATGGACATCCACAATTAATCTTAAAAGGATTTTTTAAACAAATAGAAATATGATTAGGAGCTCTGCTAAGCCTCCTTGAGCAAAGTAATGCATACTGCCTGCCATTTGTGGATTTCAGGGAGGAATTTTCTTTAATACTTTCTCAGTAAAAACTGACTTCAGATATATAAAAAACCCCAAGAATTCACCCCCAGCTTCCCTCCTTACTAATGACTACAGCAGATGTCATTTGTTTCAGTGAAAATCACAGAACGGATGAGCACTATGAATAAAAATGGAACAAAATGCAAGTCAGTAAATACTTACTGTAATTTGGTACATCCTCATCTGAGTCCTTGGAAGATGTTTTACAAGTTTCTAACGAGCCATTTTTTTCAGATTCAGGAGTTAAGATGCTGGGTTGGGTTTCTCTTAGTCCTGCTTTAGCTTCTTCCTCTAAAGCTGCTATCATATCCCTGTAGGCCTTCCTAGCCTCTGTTGTCAGCTGTACCATTCTATGAAAATGATCCTATGAAAATGGCAATTTAAACAAGAGTTTAAATAATACAGTAAGTTTTAACATCTCCTTGAAAATCATTATAATGAGTATTCCTTATTCAGAATGTGTAGGTTCGTATGTAACGGTTGAGCAGCTTAGTATGCATGAAGACATGAAAGACACAGCATTTTTCAGCAGTTATAAAACCACCAGTTCTCTTGAAAAAAAACATCGAGGGAGATACAAGAGGAAGGGGATGTCAGGAAAAGATGGCAAGAGTAATTTTTTTTTTTTTAACAGTGCTGACTGCCTGTACTTGTAAAATCAGTTTTTCATATAAGCTATGTATATGACCTGTGATGAAGAGTCTTAGTCTGCAAAAGCAAAACAAGCAAAAAACCCCTTAAAAATCACAGTATTTTCATCTCCTCTTCCAAGTATAAAGTGAAGCTTTTTGAACAAACACATGAAGTGACTCATGTCAGCTTACCTGAGCCCCATCATAACTGAAAATTCCCACCACACTCACAGGCACTGCTTTGTTCACACAGCGGCCCAGGGCCTTGCGATTAAGGGCAAAAACAAACGGGATGTTCTGCTCACAGGCACAGTCAATAATGTTGTGTAGGGTCTCGTCCAGCCCACCTGGAGCAGACAACACAATTAGGCTGATTGGAGCTAAAGAACCATACTGTTAACATATGGCAAAAAAATACCAAGATTATGGGTGCATTCTGAAACTACACCTTATAGGAAAAAAACAGAGATCACAATAGTAATGTTGAATATCCATTTTTAAAGGACAACTTGACATTTTATTCTTAATTCTTAGTTAGCATTAATTTTAGACTGCTTCTATACCATGTTTTACTATATATGTAGTACAGTCTAATCTAGTATAAAAAAAGATCCAGCTGCTGAAGAATTATTTAAATGACAATAATTCAACAATTACAATAAATTAATGCTAATAATGACAACTTTTAGGAAACTGTCACTAGTGATTTATTGTCAGTCCATGTTGTAAAAGAGATTGATACAGTGGGACTCCCTGTGATGGCAGAGCTGGCATCAGCAGCCTTTGGATTGTCTCAGCTGTGCAGTACAATTTTTTGTGCAGCAGCACAGCAAATCAGTAACTAAAGACTCTAATCTCAGGTAACTTCTCCCACCTCAGACAGTCTTGACTCAGCTCACAGTTCAGCTGCATAGCAGTAAACTATCTGAGCAAGGAAGGCAACTTCATATGGCTGGCTTTCAAAGGATATTCAAATAAATTCCTCCAATAACAATAATATTGCTGTCAATATACTGAACCTCCTTTTTTGTATTTTTTTAATTAAACAGATTTTTTTTTTTTTTTGGTTAAGAACTTATTTACCCTTTGACTGAATCTTTTCACAGTTAGGAGAGATGATGACACACTTCAGTTTTTTCAGCTTCAGATGTTTCAGAACTTCTCTAAGACCCATAACAAGCCTGCGTTTTATCTTGGCCTTTACTGGGTCTTTCTGATACAAGCGATCTTGGAAACGAACCAGTTCTTTTAAGAGATCTGTCACACAACTGTCAACTTCTTTACTAAGTACCTGGCTGCAGTAACTGGAAGAAAGGAGCAATCAAATGGTTAGAGTCACTAAAATTACAAATATGTAACATTTAAATACGTAATACATTAAATATACGTTCAAAATTCTATTCTATGTCTTTGTATTGTTTTCTGTTTCCACTCCAAACATACTTGTTGTATACACAAAACCAAAAATTTACTTCTTTTTAGTGTCTGAAAACTTGAGAGGATAAAGTTTTGTTCCTTGTGTTACCTGGCTTCCTAATCAAACAATATTAAAAATACATATATACATGTACAATAAACCCATCTACCTGTATCTATATATAGATATATATATTTTATTCCAAGAAATAGGTACGTTCATATATGTTTTTCTACTGGAGCATTTTTCTGAGGGCATCTATTGTGACATATATAAATGACATATATGAAGTACAGCAACCAAAGTACAAAATTCTAACTTACTTCTGTAAGTTCAAGGCTACGTGTATCAAACACAGAAAACTGAATCACATTCTTCCTCACTACATTCATGCCTGTCATCCTTTTTCACTTATCTGACTATGGCTTTGTGGTGTTCATAAGGG